AAAATAAGTGAGACTGACGTACCCACGCAGACACCATTTTACAAAGTCTGTCAGATAAAAAATGGGCTAAGAATATACAGGAAACTACACATATCATCTTTTATATAGATCATAGTGGTTTGTTATTAATATTGGGTACAATTAGAGGTCGAGCGGGCGGTGACTGTCACCATAACCGGCCCGAGTTAACCGCCACTCCGAGAGTAATTACACTGAACTTCATTTAACTTCCGCAGCTCACTCCAAATACCAGTACCACTAAGCACTGTACTTACTTTACTTAGTTCGTAACAAAACGATGCAATTTTAACTAACGGTCCGCCGGGATAAGTCTCAACTGTGTATAAGTTAATGTACTTTTATCTTTAAACTTTTATTTCAGACTGGTTGCGCTACTGCTCAAGTTTCTTCGGATAACGCATAGGGTTCCTGTAAATTGTGTTAGTACGTTAACCTAAAGTTATTGTGATCTTTTTTTACAGTTGATTAAATTTGAACTATATATTAACCATATAAACAGCTGATTGGGTTTTTTATGTCTTAATGTTTAACTATATATTAGTGACAAAATGTAGGTATAAATTGTAGTCAAAATGTTAACGGTAGGATTTAAGATTTTGTTACAGAAAAATCATAATATATTCGTAATTCGAATTTCCTTTTTGAGAAAAGTAGAATATATTTGTACAAATTTATAAAAACATTTTCTTTCAAATTTTGTTTCTACCTATTAGCAATCGTAAAGAACTATATTTTACACATTATTATCACGGGCGTTTCTAAACCTTATGTATTGCAAACCATGGAAATGCAAGCTGTATGGGCGAAGATGTACAGACAATTCCTAACAGATTTTATGTAACATACTAACATAAAAATATAGAATTGAATTTAAACCATCGTCTTTTTGAAGTTGATTGAAAACCCGTTTATGTGTCGAGACACACAAAGGTATTTGGTTTGCAGATAGTTTCGTGAATAATAAATGCATTGAATATTACAGTAAATGACTGCGAAGTCTAAAAAATATATGTATCTATAGTATATGAGACTGAAACTCTTCCGACTTTACACTCCCATAAATTTTAGGTAACATGTAACTCAAGACGTCCCCTTTATGCTTTCCAACATTTTGCTAAAACTTATTACTGGTTTCAAATACAGTAGTTTAATAACTTTTCTCGTATTAATGTTTTTTTATTACCCACTGTGATGCAATACTTCAATTTATTTAAGTAATTGCAAGGGTTCAAAATATATATAGTGTTAACACTTTTATTCCAGATGGTAACCAGATATAATATGAACCCAACACGTGATATACTCATATTAAACATACGCATTGAAATGTGACTAAATTGAGTTAAAAGTTATATATGAATACAATACAGTAAGGACGACATATTGCTAAAAACTAAATTAAAATCCATTGCGCAGGTTAAAAAATCTAAGCGAACAGACAGCGGAAACGGCTTCATTTTATATAGGTAAAAAGATACAGAATTTTGCGTTATAATAACGACAGTAAATTCACTGAAAACAAAGACCATTGAGGTCATCAACATCTCTAGGCAAAGGTAAGGCTGTCTTATATAACTCATTTATATAAGACAGCCTTACCTTACCACAGCAAATTTAATAATTAAGACATGAAGAATTAATGTAATGATTATGCATTATATATCATTATACAATAAAATAATAGATATAAAATAATTAAATTATTTCTATATCATTTAAATCTAAAACACCTAAATGTCACACCAACCGGTGTTTATGCGATTTAATTGAAGTTGGACGAATTGCGAATTTACGTTTGGTACATTGCGTGCTTAAAATATTATAATTTAGTCATAAAAAAATCTGACTATTATCCTCGTAGCGAGCCGTAAAAGAGGCTATTGTCGTACGTACAATGGATGCCTTTTATTAAACGAACGATGTACAAACAAGATTACAAATATAGCAGTCATAAAAAATAATACCAATGTTGAAAAATATCTTGATTTGTTGTATTCGGCCGTTATTTCATCATCGTTTGCGTTTTCATTACGCTTCGTAATTTCCAGGTCAGGAAATTAAACAGGCGCTGGTGCCGTCAAAAGCAAATACGAACCTGGCTTCTACTTGAGGTGCAAAAGTCTCAGGTACATCATTAAAGTGATGTTAATATTCAATTTATGTTGAATATTACATTAGTTTTGGCCGCGGCCGCTTTTGCGGTGTTTATGGGTTAGTTTATTACGTCCCAGTTGGATCCCTGAATGTTAAATCGTATACGCTAAGTTTGGCATTACATGAAAAAGAAATGATTCCTTTACGTATATGAATTTCGTTCAATATATTTATGTATGACTATTATTTTAATCAGAAATAATAATAAACAACATAGTTAATATATAAATTGAAACGAAATTTGGCACACATTTAAGAGAAAATTAATATATTGGATACTTTTATTTTAAAACATGCTATTAATTAAGAAAGAAGGTAACACTACAGGTTATATTTTAATATCTACTAAGAATATCTTGCTTTAATTAACATTTCAAATGCATGTATAACAATTCATTATAATTAAATCACCATGTGGTGATATGCAACACGCTACTTCATTACAGCAGGATGTGTTAAGTACGTCGATACTGAACACTTACCTACAGCTGTAAAGCACAAAACACAACTACATCTTTGCAAGGGATGGAATACTGTGCTAACGGATTATGTTGACGATGGTACTAGTACCAGTATAGAATGTTGTCAAGTCAGTTAGCGTAATGTGGCTGATTTACCAGGACCAGAAATTAACGAAAATCGTTAGCAACCGCCAGAACCTGACCTGGTTGCCCGACATTGATAGCAATAGGTTATTAGTTACCAATACAATTTTGTGTTCTATTTAGAAACCTGAATCCCCATTTATAATATAAAAGATTGCTTATGTTTGTAATATATTTTATTTTTATATAATAAAAAATTATTGGGCTTTATTTTCCAGAAGTATGTGGCTAAAAAGGTTAGGAAATGTTGAATTATATCATAATAATTAAATACAATAGGCATGCATACGATAAGTACGATAAATTTACATAATAGGTTATTACCACGTTCATTACTTACTGTTGTTAATTACGTATTATGCAGGGTATAGGTATTGGCACAATGGATAATTATCTTGGCATGACACCTTTAAAGGATATATTTTAGCAATAAATTAAACGGGGAACCCTTATGCTAAGGCGGACAGTTTTAGGGATTTTGCACGTAGTGTGATAATAGGATCCCTTAATATTTGTGTCGTCAGCAGCGTCACCTGTTGAATGTGTAAATATAATAGAGATCGAAATAATTGTTTTATTTATCTTTACAGCAGTTCTTTTAAGGCGTAAGCAGAGAGAATCGGGTGTTCCTAGCTGAAACTCAAGATGGACAAATGACTAATTTACCCCAGGCTTTGTACAAAGTTTGTATATCCTGACTGTATATCAGAGTACAAACTTTACACAACTCAACTAGATGTTAGTCGGTTACTGCTACAAATTATATCCTAGTATGAATGATAAAATATAAAGATATAATCTATTATAATATTATATAGAGGCATAATGCCTTTGTATTAACGAACAGTAAAGGATGACTCCTGTAAAAGGCATCAAAATATATTTTAGAGAGCTGTTCTTGAATATAGGCGCCCATTTTTTCATATTATCAGGACCGATAAAGAGACTTTGTAGTATAATTTCACTACATAGTATAATAATATCTACTCAATGGTCGTGAATTGACGGCACTTTATGTACCAATTACTATTTTCAATGCAGGCAAATATAAATCTTTGCTACACTGCACTCGGGATAAGTTTAACGTTATGGTTTATGCACATGTTAACTGTGAACAAAACTGCACATATTACTTAATTTGGGTATAAACTTACAAACCACGTGGAATGTAGTACTATATATTAGTACTTATAATACTAGTACTTTAATACTTATAACTAAGAATTAATGTAAAGTTTAATTAAGAGACACATATAAATAATTGCTTTATTGATTATATACAAATTACAACAAAAATATAGTTTGCAATTAGAAGAATATTGTAAAATAAAAAGATAATTATCTAATAGACAAATTGTGAATAAAGAGTTTTCTGGCAATTTTAGATGTCTGACTACATGTAGGTACAAAGTTAGGGACTGTCCCAAAGGCCACTTAAACAAAGAGCTGGGCACAATGAATACTTCCTGTTGACGCAAGCTTCTAGTAAATGTAAGCGACTCCGTATAGAGCTACATTTTTCCTTTTAAAATTAGTGAATAAAATATCTACTTTTAATTTTATCACTTGCCGCCTAAATTTTGCTTTTTAATACATTTTTGTTATTCTATTTTTAAGTAAGACTTAACAAAATATTCGTGATATACATAGAAATAGCTGTATATCCTTTGGTACATTTCTGTTAAATAATATTAATGAAATTATGAATAATTGATTACATTTAATACATTACATTAAATAGTTTATTTAATAGGTACATAATGTGTTATTTTTGCGATGGTTATTTTTTTATTGGTCTAACAGTTACAAATGTATGACTAAATATTGAAATAGTTTATTTTGAGTATATTGTTGTAATATACTTTGGTTTACAAAATTTTATGTATATTGGAAAATCAATTTATATTTTACATTAAAAAAAATCAAGCTGATACAAAAATTGTATTTATCGATAAAGATTACTTCTCTTACTGTATAATGCAAATAAAAGTATATTCTATATCTTATAATATATAAATATGCAATAAATGATGACTAATTGACTTTTTACACATAGTTTTTAAGGTATTGAAAAAGCGAAAAGCGATTGTGAGAATTGGTGTTTTGTATCTGTATCCAGTAAATTTTTATAGTTGCTGTAATATATTCTATGACCAAAGTAGCATACAAAGAATTATTATATATCTAATGTTGATTGCAAGTGCAATATAGGTAATATTATTATGATAAAACGACTGCATGCGAATAATTTAAGAAATATTTTTAATTTACGTGTTTTTTAAAACTATATTTTGTTAGACGTATATTTCCACTTGATAGTTGAGACCAGATCCACGGTCGCTCTTGAATCTAAGGTTTACATACGAGAAGCCCACGCCGCCCGCAGTGATGCTGGCAATAGCATCCGTGTGGTCTAAATCTCTTGCAATAACGCTCTGAAATCATAAATGTATGACATAAGTATTACACATAAATAGGTAAAGAAAGTCTTTTATACAACTATGCTTAAATATCCTTTTAGTTTCGTTGTGTGAGGAATAATTAATTAATCTGAAATAAGGTTATTGACGTTAACTTCTAGTGTGAAGATAGTGACCATATAATCTGAAATATTGCCAAAGTCCACCGGGAAATACTTAGCGATCACAGTGGAGAACCCCCTGAACTAATTGTTATTAAAGGTTCCGACTGAGGTTGCTGATAATGTGGTGTAAAATGCAGTGTTCTTCAATTATATCTATTGAAAACGTCGACTATAATTATGTCGAAGTTAATGTATACATATATCTAAGTCAAGACAGGTAAGACCTTACTAATACAATCACAATATACATAAAAAACACCCAGACCAATATAAAATATCGTTCGCATGAAAATACCGTTTGTACCGTGTGAGGAATCCATCCTGTTCTAAATTACTAGACCACTCAGGGTGTCTATAGGAAACTTTACTATAAGTTTTTATTCAACAATTTATGATGGCGATAATGTTGAATATAAATTAATAGTAATAAGTTACCAGTATGTATACTTATAGATATATTCATTGAATAATAATACAAATAAATTGACGGCTAACAAATTACGATAATTTTCATTCAAAACGTTTATATTTTATATTTACATTATAATTGTATTGAAACTAGATAGTGCAACTTTTCTAGTCAAAAGTGTTCTGGCGAAAAGCAAACATCAAGAGCTAAAAATATCCTTAACGCTTTTAGTCTAAAAGAGTGAGTAAGGGCACTCGCTGGTAAAATGTACTCACGTTAGTTTCATACTTATTTCATAGTACGACTTATTTTGTTTTTTATTTTAAAACAAGTTGCAGCGAATTCGCCTTTTATGAAGTTTATAGAATTTATAAGTGTTTCCGAAAACCATTTTTATATTTTGGGATATTGATTTAGAAATTTCGTTTCGAATTTTAACTAACTTCTGATCTTAATAAATAACCATCGATATGACCGAAAAATATATTTTTCAACGTGGACTACGTTTTCGTAAGTGATCTTAATACAAACAAAAAGTTATCGAAATGGGGGACCACTGCGGACTCCTTATCTCTTCTAGAGAATAATATGCCACTTGTACCCAGCAGAAATGTAGATTCTGTGACCTACTTAAGAAAAACTTTGAGGTGTCCCATGATGCGCTTACTATTGGAGTGGCAAGTGCGTGTCAGAATATGTAAATTACTAAAATATTAATCACATGTACAAAATACACAAATGAAAATATAACGCAATAATGCTATATTACAAATAGATAGTAACAAATATTTAATTATGATTCGGCCAAATCGAGGTTCAGTTAAATTTCCACCTAGTTAGGGGTATCTAATCAAGGCAATATGTTTTGATATCCATGGTTGAGTTCTTTTGAATATAATTTGAATTGACAAACAAACAAACGGCCCACTTGAAGTAAGTGGTATCCATCAACTATACCTATACATGAATAGCACTGCGGACATCACGTCATTCCAGAGGATTAAGATGTCACCCCTCTGATCCTGTATATTCACTACCTTTTCTCACTCTACAACTGAGTACCACTTCCAAGTGTTTGGCGGCTGAAAGGTGTGGTACCTACTGTATTGGTAGGTACGCAGACAACTTTTTACCACAGTAAATAACATTAACAATTAATAATAATAGTAAGTTAACCGTAGAGTAGTAATAATTTATAAGTAAATATTTAAATGAATATTTAATTACATATATATAATTGGATGTTATAGATTTAGTATATCAATAAATATATCAATATATATGTATATGGTATTACGAAAATAGAGTGTGGTTTGCAGTTAGCTAACTTCAAATTAATTATTACAACGTATACTAATTACACTTCCTACTATTATATTATAACACTTATAAAAAAATACATTTCACTTGTGATTCGGTTTGTTTATGATTTAAAATATAAGCATTCATTTCTGGGTCCTAACGTTTTGTACATTTTAGTAGTAGTTAGAGTATTCCAAGATAGCGCAGAAATAGAATAATGGGGGAAATAAGGAAGATCTTTAAGAGAGTGAATCATATGGATCAAGATGATTTACCTAACTATATATATAATATATATACATCATATCATATTATATATTTATTTACCTTACACTATATACAGTGTCACTAATGCCATTTAATTATATACACATGTACAAAAAAGGCAAAGTTCAATGTAATAGATACCTAAATATACATGTATAACTAAACAAACTGTATTATACCATGTAGAATTGTAAATTAGTAGATAACTACTATATTAAATTAATTATTAATATTAATACAAAATCTGAAATTCAGATAATTGCACTTAGTCACTTGCTGAGTTTGTGTCATGGGTAGGTTAGTATAGATAGAAAAACATATATTTAAAAGATTGAATCCGTGGTAATTATACATCTTATTTTATTATGGATGTAAACATAATATATGTACATAGATAATGCCCAGGCCTATACAAACAGTCATATTGATGAATACAAATGCTTGCATAGTGCGACAGAATGGAATTCACGACCGTCGGAAGTAAAATGATGTGCTCAACCGATAGACTATTCGAGGCCGAAATATTGTACACTTGTATATTTATCTATTTAAGTACTAAAGTTGTTAATATATTAATTTTTGGAAATCCATATAAAACAATAAAATAATATAATATAAATAAATAGAATTTCTGATAGTAGGGTTTCTAATTACTCCCTTATATTTATTTTCGCTCTTAATTTATATTTAATCAAAAATACTCTGTATTTACGGTATACAAAATAAAAGTTTCAATATAAAATGGTAAACGACCGATTTATTATGTTAACATACATTAGTCAAAGGCTTTGTAATTTAGCAGGCACAGTTAGTATAAATATTACGATTTATATAGGGATACTTTTAAGGACAGGACATTTTAGATGTTAGTAAAGCGTTGTAGTTGGTATATGTTTAGATATATACCTAACGTTTTGTTATCATTTAAACACATTTATTATAGAGTAATTTTATATTTGTTACACAAATAAGCAATAATTCTAACAGTCGATATCAAATATCCAAAAAGTCAACGACTGGTTGTCAGTAATTGTATTTTAAATATGTCTTTTCCGTGAACTTTTTGAATTTCCCCGGAGGACGTCTGAGAATCATTGTAATTCTATGTCAATTTCGTTTTCGCCTTACTTTCCTTTGTTGGGTTTATACTACGTAGGTATAGTTATGAGACAGTTTCTTGATAAGATAGTATACTTCTTGTGTCGTGACCTGTGATGTAGCTATATATAAAATAATACGTGATATAGTGTAAAATTCAAAGACGCTTCAAAATAGAACATTATAAACTATATTTTATGATTAGTAAAATGAAAAGTGGTATATCATATTTATTTTTCTAATATATAATTTACTATATACTAGTCTTACTTGGGTGAATTTATTGTAAAAAGGAAGAGATTCAAATAATTATTTGTTTATCCTATACACATAAAACAAGAACTTTTATTTGGATGAAGGGACGGAGGTTTGTTTATTCCTCTTTTATGTTACTCAAAAACTACTGATCTGATTTTGTCTATCATTACACTAAGTAAAATGTTATTAAGATGATTAAGCGTGAGTGTTAATTTTGCGAATTATATGAATAAGTAAGTTGTCACGCCTAAAATACATAATAAATTCTTTGTAGCTGAAAGTTAACTTATAAGAATACATATCGGGATAAAGGCACAGTTAATTTTGCTTATATAAATACTATTATATATATCTACATTTTATTGTAACGCATGCTTCCAGCTGTCTAAATGAACTCATTAGGTATGTAGTTTGAAAGAGGTACAGGGGCTGCTAAATACATTAAATAGAATGTGTTTTATTGTTCTTTATGGGGAGGAATAATCTTTCCTAGCTCTATTAGTAGACCATGAATGGCTAAATGACAATCTTATTTCATAGCTGATATTTTCATTAATTGTAATAATATTACTATTAAATAAAGTTATTGAGACCGACTTGTCGGCGAATTTAATATATGATAATGTCGACGTGACCTCTTTTATCGCTTGGGATAAATGTAGAAGGCAAACATAAAGTATTATTAATCTGTGGTCAAACCGAACACAACTGATTACAATGTCAATTTCTTAGAATTTAATGAGAACATGTTAATGCCACTATTTAGTCCAAGTTCTTTCCCGTGCCCGTGCCCGTGCTTTCACTCGTGCGAAATTTATAGTCTATATGTTATTCTGATATATAAGCTATATTACTGTGAAGTTTCATCGAAATCCGTTCAGTAGTTTTTTCGTGAAAGAGTAACAAACATCCATCTATACTCACAAACTTCGCGTTTAAAATATTAAATAAAATTATTCCTCTACTGTATATTACCGAAATTAATTTCATGGACTTCAAAAAAGGGGGAAGTTTACTTTAGTTTATATATATTTCGTGTGTGACAATATGGGAGCCATTCTGTAATTTAAAAGGTTCATTCTTGTTTCAATGTTGTATTAAATATATTTTTGCAACGGATGACATTAGATATTTGCTCAGTTCTTTAATTTCCACGAACAGTCTTTATTTTTACATTTATAAAAAAATATTAAAGAAACACTTGAATTAAAAACAAACGTTAAATGTTATCTACTGGCACTATAATAGAACTACTATTAAAAAATATGTGACAACAAGTTTTACCTTAATAATTTGTTGTCCGGCATCCGAATAAAATTCTTCCTTGACCCTCTTCTTAAGTGGAATAGCATTATACTCGACCTTCTGTTGCCAGATAAGTCTACTGTTGTAACTGGTACCCACAATAAGATCCTTACATTCTATAATACAAATTAACGATAGGAAACAAACAAGGATCACTGCGTTGGTTTTCATTTTTATTTTATAAATTTATCGTGTGTAATGCTTACGGAACAATGGACAACAACCGACTGCTTATACTTCGCCATACGCTTGCCAGTTAAACTTGTTTACCTCTGTGTATGAGTAACCGGAAAAAACTTGTTCTCTGTGTATATAGGGTAAAAATCTATTATACACCAATGCGGTTTTTGAGTTTTGTTATTGAATAGCCAATTAGTAGTTATGATCCGCGCAATAGACCTTGTGACCAAAGGAAAATACGAGCAGCTGTGACGCTGTCCTTTCCGTAAAGTGGCCTTTGGGTCGTATGTTGTTCCAATTTATGTATAAGACGCTCTGTTATTTTCGTAATGTAAGTTTTTCGTATTCTTTCGTGATGTTTCTCGCAGGCGTTAAATATAACTAGGCAAATAACTACCAATATTTTTTATTATTATATCATATAAATTATCTGCATCGTGACATTTTATATTTGATAAATAATTGTACCTAATATCTAATAAAAATGTGATTAACATTATAATTTAAAAGAAAAATCGCAATTAATATATATATGTCATATACATATTTTTTACACACTTTTCTAAATTAACATTACAGTTTTATTATTTGGGTCTCTCAGGTCTATCAGGTGTATGAAAATATCCTAACTTGTGTTTGTTACATTAAATATGTCGCAAGCACAATATGTCATGTTGCGATTAATGTACATACCTTGTCGAATGAATAGAACAAAGGTAGTAATGTCATAAAAGACAAAAAAATGTGGTGCTATACCAGAGATATAAAAGGCCTAATTAATAGTTTTCTTATTCTGTAATCTCATAGCAAGAATATGTAGTGTTATATCGGTATTTACCTTCAATGTACGGTACCTAAGTAGGGTAGGTATATTTAACATCACAAGAGATAACGTTTATTTGATCTGATTATTAATGTTTTTCAATATTTGATTAGCAATTATAAGAACCCAAAGGTATATATAGGCGCAATATTTATATATTGTACTAGCTTTGCTCGCGGTTTCACCTGCATGCAATTTGAAGCCTATGTGTTATTCTGATATATAAGCTATATTACCGATATATATATATATATATATATATACTATGTATGCCTGGTATAATATAATATAATATTGATATACATCATAAAATTGTAGAATACTTTATGGTATGCTTAAGTCTATGATTTGGCCGTATTATAATCTCTTTAGGTTTCATTGTCTATCTTTCCTTTGAGCGAAATCATTATGAAAGCCTTGCGTAATCACCAGCGAGCGGTTCGAAATAAAAAGTAAATTTCATTGAACTCCTAAAATAAGTGGGCGAAAAATAAAAACATTTTTTATATTTTGACACGAATCTCATAAACGACGTAAGGTTTTAATATTTACACAGCAACATACTGCGGTCGTACCTGTATAATAACGTGAGTGTCGTCGGTCTGTGCCGACAGATTTACTACCGCCACTGCTCGACGTAAATTACAGCAGTGTCAAAGGTTAGCTTTCATATTTCTGTGCGAAGCATACAAGACTGCCAGTACAGAAGTACTGCCAGAGCTGGCAGTTATTCAGAAATTCTACTTTTAGAAACTTCATATAGAAATATTTCACGTGAATTTCTCTAAAATATTCGTATAAGTGTTCTGCATCTAATGATGAAAATGAACAAGTCATGATTTAAAGGTAGTGTGATTTAGTATCCGAATATAATGTTATGTTCTAATCTGTATTTTAATAACTATGAAAATATAATAAATATACAATTGTTTTAAGTATAATAAGGTTAAATTGTTACCAGATAAAAAATTAATTCCATCATCTAAGCTTTTATTACAAAATATCTATTACAAGGTATTACATCAAATAAAATGTTTTCCATCCAATATGAACGGTGGCAGTAGGCGGGTAATATTTTATAGTAGTAGAAGTTAGTTAGTAAATTTTTGTAGAGCTAAAGTTCTTACTAACCGTACGTTTACTTTGACTTCACTCACCACTTACCAATCCCCTCAATTTAATTAATTATTACTACCTAGTTCCTTTTCTTTTCGAGACCATTGTGAGATCTATAAGTCGGCTTTAACTTTTCCTTGATCTTTATTGTGTTGTCATAGTTTCTTTGTATTTTATAGAAGTAATACCTTCTAGCTGTAATATTGAGTGTAATAATAGTTTAGTAAGTGTTGTTTTAATTTCGGAATTAAGACAAAAGAATTGATAAGCTGAAGTGGCAATGGATTTATATATTTACATAGCTCGACACTCGATAAAAAAAATAATGCAGTGTAGGAAATGCTGACATGGAAGGAGGATAACGAAGAGATATCCTAAATTCATGTCAGCATTTGACATCATGAAAACCATGACCACTCTGTCAAGAGCGTATGACTAAAGAAGAAATTGTACATAATTTATGTAATATATTTTCATATTCCTGCCTGTGTGGGAAAACACTATCCCGTTTTTTAAGGCAGAAATGCATAATACAAATTTATTATACAAATCCCATTAAATAATTACGTATTTGCATAGACAAATACGTAATTATTAAATGTATATCGTGTATAGAATGTATATTTACATATGTGTAAGAAATATACTGTAAAAGATAACTATATATGTGTGTGTGTGTGTGTATATGTATATATTCAAAACATAGAAATAGTAAATATATTGTTATTATTAATAAATTGTCTGGTAGTAGTTATTAAGTTTCTTTTTATGAATTAGTCTGTAATCCGCATATTTGTCTGTTGTTTTTGCATATACTGTTTGTTATTTACCTCCCTTTGGATGATCACGCGCTTATTTCATGTTATTTGTAAACAGTAATAGAATGTAAAAATCAACTGTAAGTGAATACAATAGAGCCTATATTTAAATGTATCATTAGTATGAACCGAGCTGGACTCATTACCTTGCTGTAACACAGTTTTTAGTAAAAACTAGCACGGGGGGTAGTTTTCTTTGTTTGGTACTTACGGCCGTATGCTTAGTTTATTATGTACCTACTATAATTCTTCATAATAAGGATTGTGTCCAATTTAACATACAAATTATTATCTAACTACTTAGAATTGATAATTGTTTCATCAGCATGCATTTAATAAGGACTTAAATTTATTTTGTTACCGCACTATGTCGTTTTTATTTGTTTGTTGTTTAATATTATTTGAATTGTTTAACTATAAACTATACGTGTACAAAACGTTGCTGTATTTACCAAGCAATTTTATTTTTGCAAGAATATTGTCAAGGTTGTACTAAATATTAGTTCAATAAACATTATTAATTTCGCAATTTATAGCATAAAAATACAATAGGACCTGAACCTCAAATAGTTTAGCTTTGTAAAAGTTATTGCTATGGAGTTTCATATTTTTATAGCATCATTTAGTTTTAGTGACTCGCTGCAATATACAATATACAAACAATATACAACTAGTATTTTATTTATATCACAGATAACATATATTTATATGGATAAGAAAAAGCAAAAATGTCATGCATTTATATCACATATTTTTTTAGTGGGATTAATTAGCTCTTTCAATATACTTTTTATTAATTGTATTATGTTATATTATCATCGCTGAGACATGAGATTAGTAAACTCTACTATGCTGTGTACTGCTGCCACTGATTTAGACTGAACTGACAGACATGTGACAGCGTTGTGGGCCGGGTCATTGGGCTCCCTAAAATATGGTCGAGCACAGTGATGGCTGGCTCATCACTCATTCAGCACTCGTTCACGAGTATGACGATACTCGTGAACGAGTGCTGCTTGGTCTGTTCTTACACTACGACTGATTTAATCTTATTGTGTTTTTATATTGGAGCCTAAATAAATTAGTGCTGGTTGGTAGTTTTGTTTAAAAGAACAACACACAAGTTTCTTAGTCATTCTTCTTGTGATGAGACAGCATTCCGAATGAGCGGTAGAATTGTTATGACTATTCAAAAATGCTTAAATTAAGTTTATTTGAATAAAAGATTTTCTATTCTATTCTATGCTGAAAAATAAAAAATAATGCACAGGCTTCACTTAATAGAACTATGAACAGGATTAATGATTAAAAAGTATGCTATATAAACCGTCGAAACTTACAACGCATTGAAAAATACTGCTTTATCATGCAGGACTATTTCAAAGAGATATCTCTTTGAAATAGTCCTGCCTACTGTGACCGGATGTATCCACGAGGCAGTTCATTACCGACTTAAATAAATAAAAAAATATTAGGTAGCTACTTATCTCTTGGTAAATTCTGTGTAATGCGACGCAACCCGCCCGCGGTACTCGGTATAATTTATTTCCTGCGAAGAAGCAAAGTACGCCGCCGAAGCCAGGAGCGTTTGTACACATTAACGCGGCATAGCTCATGAAAAATCGCTTAGGAGAGACGCTGGCGGGTTGTTTGCGGTTGGCGATATTACATGTGCGCCATGCCTTTTATCCCTTTTTTATTGTCGTCCATTTTAAAGCCGTCACACGCTACATTACTCAGTATATTGCTAACAACAAGTGGACTTGGAAATTATTGCCGCTACGTTTTATTATTACGTTAGACTTTGATGCAGGAAATCTATAAACCTTCCGACAGCATAGGCTTACACGACAGTAATGTTTGCTGCTATTTAATTCTATGTAATTCAACCTTTGAAACAAATTCTTACAAGTGTAAAGATATGAATATATAAAACAATCATTAGATGACTTCATAATGTCGTTATTTCAAAGAAGGTCCAATAAAACTGCTATAATAGCATATTGCGATATACGTGCGTTATGATGGTTGTAACACACGAGACGGAATTTCAGTCAGAGCCAAAGGCGAGGCCGATATGGAGTGTGTTAAATACGCACGTAGATATATCGTACGACACTTATTTGAAATATTTTAAATATATATTTTCTTAACAATAAGTATCATGTTGATACTAAATTAATATCTAAATCTAAAATCTAAAGAATGTCAAAATATTCATAAAATTATTAATAAATTCTAAATTGAGCTTCAGTATTTGTCATTTACTAAGAAAATCATCAAAGGTAGTAAAAGCATTTTTTTAATAAATATTTATTCAGCTTTGTTTTGAAATTGGTTTTATAAAGTACATTTTCTAAATAAATTGGACCATAACAGTGTGATACACACTGTTGCTTTCCCGACGTCTTATTTTTGAAATCAGCACGATACCTACTGGCTGGTGCGGCGGTCAATTCGAAATTTGATAAAAAATAATCTGCTGAATAATGAAATATAACTTCCCTATTTGTGTT